AGTAAAAGAAAATAGAAGTAAAAAAAAAAAGTAATGTCAAAAAGGGGATAGGTGTAAAACGTACGAGAAAAAAAAACAGAATAAAAAGGATGAATGAAAAAAAAAAAAAAAAATAAAAAACGTAGGATAAATGAAAAAAGTATATAAAGTAACAACAACAACACGTATTACATATATATATATATAGTTTTAGGTATAGAGACCCTTGGTACAAAGTTGTAGGGTAGAGTTAGTTTCGTACCACGAGGGGTTGTGTTGCGTCATGCTACTCGCCGAGACAAACGTTTTTATTAGGAAAAATCAGGAGGCGAGACGAAATCTAGGGACCCTAGGCGCGTGCGCTTTCGTATAAGAGTAAAAGGGGTTGGAAAATGTTTGAGGAGTAGGGGTTTGGCGCCCGGTGGCGCCCCACTGGTGTATAACCCCCTCCTTTATTCCCACTTCCACCCTCTTGGCTCTCCTCCTTTCGTAGTCGTTCTCTCTCTCTCTCTCTCTCTCACACAATTTCTCCCTCTTACTCCCTATATCTGCCTGCACCCTTCCACTTTTGGCTCGCGGCGCGCACGCCGTCAAGCAGGCAGGCAAGCAAGCAGGCAAGCAGGGTTGGGCTGTTGTCGGAAGGGTGGTGGTGTCAGGCGCCAGTCGCTACGCGGACGTTGAGCTCGGGTTTTCCCTCGTCCTTCGAGATACTAAAACTATATCTTTACCTTTTTTTAGTACTTTTTTTTTTCTCTTCCAGTATATATACACATATTTATTTATTTATTTATCTATCTACCTATTTATCTATATATATATTTATATTTATATATATATATATATTTTTTATATTTATTTTTATAAATCTTTTTATTTATTTCTCATTTAATAATTTGTTAACTGATTTGATTATTTTAATCCGTTCATCCTTTTCCTTTACTGTACTTCCTGTGCTTGCTTGCAAGGATAAGCTTACGCGCGCGCGCGCGTGCAATTTCCCGCATCCACGTTTTCAACACAACCCACTCATCCCTTCTACTTTTGTTGTATCTCACTTTGATTATTTATTGTTAATTTATCTTAGTTTATATTTGGTTCTGTTATTTTTTTTTTATTTTTTTTTTCTCTAACTTTAACCATTGTCCCCCACTTTTATTATCTGTCTTTAATTTATCTTATTTTATACTAATTCTTTTTTTTATTTAATTTTCTTTTTCTCTGACTTTAATCATAGTTTATTTTATTTATTCAGTGATTCAAAATTTTTGATTGGTTTATATTTATTAATATTATTTTACATTTTTACAGACAATATTTATAAGAATACAAAGGAAATTTTATCGTGTGACAAACGTGAAAAATATATATTTTATTTTGTTTAATAACTCGTGTGTTCATTTTTAGAAATTTCAAATTTTATTCTATTGTAATTGATTTTGTATCCATTTTGAAATAGTACCTACCAGTGTGTTCGTCCTAATAGCAGCAAAGTGAAAGGGTGGTTATTTGTTCTCCCTTTATTCTCTCGTGTTGAGACGTCGTGAAGAAATAATAGGGAGAGAGAGAGAGAGAGAAAGACGGTGATAATCGAACTGTATAGAGGGGAACTCTGTGTGTGAGAGAGAGAGGGAGAGAGGGAGAGAGTTTGGGTAGTGGGGGAGAGGATCGTAAGTTCGCGAGAGTTCAGTAGAACGCGTGTGATCGAGAGTCGCGGTTGAAAGTCCTAAGTTGTGTGACGACCAACCCCCTTTTTTTTATTCCTCTGTCTCTCCTCTCATTCTTAACCCTTACGTGATATATCAATATACGTGTTATAAAAAAGTGACGATAAAAAATAAAAAATAAAAAAAGATAGAGTGAGAAAAGGGTGAAAAAATAAAAGGATTGTTACTATCAACGAAATTCGTGATTGGATAGAGTGTTTTCTATTTGGATTTGAAAATATCTAAAGGTGATTTCAAAAAAAAAAAAAATAAAGAAGAAGGTGTTGAAGTAAGAAGAGGAAGTTGAAGGAGAAGGATCATGAAGGAAAAAGGATCATGATTGTGATGTTACTTGCGAAGGGTAAGTGTTCTACGTGTGTGTAAGTGTACGAGAATGTTTGTGTGTGTGTGTATGTGTTCATACTATTCCCTGTGGTTTTTTGAGTGTATATATATGATATGTGTATGTGTGGTGTCTGTATGTATAGATATATAGAAATATATATATAGATATCAGAGTGAGAGGGATCGTTTAACGAAAGAGAGAGAGAGAGAGAGAAAGAGATAGAGAGAGCTTCTTCTTCGTCCACTTCAAAGGAGACACCACGAACGCAGGAATTTCGAGAACGACAAGGACTATTCGTCCTTTCATACCCCACGAAGTGCTTCTCGAATACGATCGAGAAACCAGATAATCGAATTCGCTTGTGTGACGTCATATCGTTCTCATCGATTGTGGTCTATCGGAGGATGGTTACAACGTTAACGTTCCTTCCTTAGGAAAAAAAAAACGAAAAGATAAAAAAAGGATACACCCCCCTGTAGGACGAAATTGTTATTTTCTACCAACCCCGAAAAGTGTGTGTAGGAATTTCTTCTTAAAAAGATAAAGGAATATATATATGTATATATAATGGGAACGATTATTATACTAGTTCTATCCCAAGGGTTATATTTTCTCTGAGACCTTTTTCTTTTATTTTTTTATCGTGATAAATAAACCTTTTTCTCGTAGGATATAAAAATATTTAAACTGAGTGACCCCAATCGCAAAAATCGTGATCCACCAATTTTCGTTTCATCGTTTTAAATTCTTTATCCTATTTCTTCTTCTTTTCTTTGTTATTTCCCATATTTGTGTGTGTATGTGTGTTTTATATTCTTCTAAATGTTTTTAATAGACACGAAGAAGTTGGAATATCAATATTTAAACTGAGTGACCATCGCGAATAAATCTGTCAATTATTGTTTTTTCATCACTTCGGATTATTTCTATTTTTTCCTTATTTTTATTTCCTTTATTTGCGTGTGTGTTTTATATTCTTTCAAGTGTGTAACAGACAAGAGGAAGTTGAAATATCAATATAGAAATTGAGTGACCATTGCAAATCTATCTGCCAATTTTCTTTTAATCATTTTATATTCTTTCGTTATTTGACATCTTTCTTTTTATTCTTCTCATTTGTCTGTAGTTTCATATTTTTCTGACTTTTTGTAACAGACAAGAGGAAGTTGGGATACTTTTATTTAAACTGAGTGACTAATACAAATTTACCTACCAATATTTCTTTTAATCATTTTGTATTCGTTCGTTATTCGATCATCTTTCTTTTTATTCTTCCTCATTTTTATGTTTTTATATTTTTCTAACTGTTTGTAAAACACTTTATTGTTTAACAGTTTATAATTATTATAAAACAGGATATTGGGATACTTCTATTTTAACTAACCATTGCAAATAGATCTATTATTTTTTTTTTAATCAACTTTTGTTTGTTATATAAAAATATTATTTTCAAATTTGATTTAATTTTACATATTTTATTTTTTTTCATCTTCTTATTCCCTTTATTCATGTTCGTTTTATATACTTCAAACGATATAATAAATAATCAGATATTTGACACTTCAATTTAAACTGAGTGACCATTGCAAATAGATCTATTATTTTTTTTAATTAACTTTTGTTTGTTATATAAAAATATTATTCTCACATTTTATTTCATTCAATATATTTATTATTTTACACAATTCATTTTTCTTCCTTATCTTACTATCCTTTATTCGTTTATATACTTCAAACTATTTAATAAACAAGACAAACTATAAATTGAAATATACTTTAAAAAGAAAGGTAATATTTTTCTTTTTCATTTGACTTTTTCTTATCGATAGTTATCCTATTTAACGTTTTATTCTTTCTAATCGGTTGCGATCGCGCGTGAAAGGACTGATCTATTTCAAGATTGGTTTACTTTAGCCTTTATCTCTTCTCTTTCTTTTTCTTGTTTTTTTTCTCTTTTTCTTTCCTATCCTCGATTTCTGAATGGCCTGGGAAGGGATAGGGAGAAAGAAGTAAAAGAGGGTGGTCGATTAAATGAAATTAATGGTTCTGGCACGACGGTGACGGGCACGATCCAGTTCTGGCAATTAAACTACGGACACGAAGACTCGCTAGAGAAACTTTTATTTTTTTTATTTTTTTTTTTAGATATATCTGTCTAATACTAGACTCTCTTTTCCACTTAGAAAGAAAAAAAAAACAACAAACAAAAAGTAAGAGAGAGAGAGAGAGAGAGAGAGAGAGAGAGAAAGAGAGAAGAAAATACGATACGAAAAACTTTAAAGAGAGGAAAACGTTTTTATTCTTTCACCTTGTTCTTAAAGACGATTATTTAGAAATTACGTGATTACAACGTACACGTTACAATGTTTTGCCTTTCTATTTTATTTTTTTATTTTCTTATTATTCCTTTCTTTCCTTTTTGTTCTTTCTCTCATTCATTTCGTTTCGTTTATTTTTTGTTGTTCCCTATTTTTAATTCCAACAACGTAATGAAATGATGGGATAGGGGGATGTAATCAAAGAACGAATCGTATGGTGTGATTATGTTTCATTATTGTTATTAATTACATTTGCCTTTTCAAACAATAACACTCGAGAGAGGATTTTGCATACGACAAAGTTCGAATTGCCATTTTGAAATAACGTTTTTGAGTATTAGTGTATACTTATTTACTCGTCGTGAATTTATGAAACACTTTATGATAACATTTATGATTGTAGTTATCATCGTCGTTTCACGTGAAACACATTAATTCGCATATATTGCAATATGATGGTCACATTCGTTGTATGTATGTATTCGTATATGTTGTTTGTTTCATTTCTTTATCTTTCTTTTTCAATCTATATATTTTAATTTTATTACAAATAAAAATGTGTGTCGTATATGGGTGTTTACATTTCGTAATAATTTTTTACTTATCTTAATTGAACATATATTTTTCATGACAGGAAAATATTTCTTTGTGTTTGATTTCGTGTGTGCATTCAAGTTTAAGTAATAATTTAATAAATTGTTTTTCAATTTTACGATTGGTTACCACATTTCTTTTTATGTTTTCAACGTAACAATTTGTATAGGATTTATATTTTTATTTAAATAAAATTAAAAACATGTGTGAAAGAGAGAGAGAGAGAGAGAGAGAGAGAGATTACTGTTGTTTCAATAAACAATTCGTGACAAGTGTTAAAAAATTTAAAGAATAATTCAAAGATACAAGGTGATTAATTATTAAAAGTGTGTTAGTGAAATTTACAAGATTTCAAAAAGAAATATTTGTTAATCCTGTGATATAAATTAAATTCAAAAACAAAAAGAAAATGGAACATTAAGTTAGTTAGAATCTTTTATTTCGAAGATTGGGCAGTGCCATTCTCTCAACGTGCCAGTTTAAAATCCGCAGCTTCGAGTAATAAAAGTTTTTATTATCGCGTAACTACGTCGAAAATGTCGAGTGTGGGTGTACGCTATTATATACGTATAGGTACACGGATGTATTCTTGAGTGTGTTGATTCCAATAAAAATAAAAATAAAAATAAAAATAAAAATAAAAAAGGAAAAATAGAACGTGAGATAGAAGATATAGATAAGAGGATAAGAGAGAATGAGAGAAAGAGAGAGAGAGAGAGAGAGAGAGAGAGAGAATAAATAAAGAATTTTTGTTGGTTCGCGTAAAGTTCTTCGCTAACCTTCCTCGCCAATCCTCGATAAACATTCGATTCACGGTTTTGATACAACTTTTATCCCACCTCCTCCTACTATTTTCTTCCCCATTTCTTTTTTCTTTTTTTTTTCTTGTTTGTTTTCCTTTATCCTCCCTCTTTTTGTTTTTTCTTCTATTTTTTTTTTTTATATCTCTTTTTTCTTCTTCTTCTTCTCCTTTATATCGAGCCCAAAAGCTCAGTTACTTAACAGGAAAAAGTTCAGACGGTCTGCGGTTTCGAAGGTCGAATCGAAGTAGGTTTTTCACGAATTTTGTTGTCGACCACAAAACTAGGGGAGAGAGTACTCTTCCTTCTATCCCCCTTCTGTTTCCCTTTTCCTTTTTTTTTTCTTAGCCCTTTTTCTTCCTTGAAATGGCAAACTCGTCGAGAGTTTCGTTTTCGTATTTTGGCCATTTCGTTAAATCCCGTTCGATGGTATTTGCAATAAAACAAGATAGAAAGATAGAAACAAAGAGAAATAAAGAAAGAGAGAAAGAGAAAGAGAAAGAGAAAGAGAAAGAGAAAGAGAAAGAGAAAGAGAAAGAGAAAGAGAAAGAGAAAGAGAAAGAGAAAGAGAAAGAGAGAGAGAGAAAGAGAGAAAGGTATAGTAAGTTGCGTTCGATCCAATCGTCTCCGATCGTAGCAATGTAAACCCATGCTAGACGGGAGAGAAACGAGCATGTTCCCTTTTTCGTATCTTTACGACCGACCTATATCTATACCTTACCCTTTCTACCTTCGAGAGAAATCGTTCGATGGTCGATTCAAAGAACGTTCAGTGGTTCCAACGGAATATCCCTTTGATCAAAGACGATTGACTGAAGTTTCTCCTAAGATGACTCGGACACACTAACCAATCTACTTTTCATTTTTTTAAATATTTTTTTTTTATTTCAAATAAAACTATATTTCATGTCACAATTTTCTTTTTTTAACATCTAACATCTCATTTCAGATTATTTTTATTCATATCGTAATTGGTTTTTGAGTACATTTTTGGGAATGTGTGTTTAAGTTTGAATTTTTATTTTCAATTATATTATATTATATTTTAGTTTTATTTATTACTCTTTTTATTTTATTTTTAATTCACATAGTAATTGGTCTTAGAAAATAATGTAATTTCTTGTTAGTCACTTATTTGAACACACATTACACAATTATATTTATTTCATTGGTTTATATTAAAATATTATTATTATTCTATTTTATTATAAATCGATGCAATTTATATTTTCAATATATTTATTATTTTACTTTATCGTATTTTATATATTTAATAATAATAATTCTTCGTTGAAGAAATATT